TCACATGAATAGACCATTTGTTTGTTTAAATCGATAAAAATTCGCCCAAAACTTATTATTATTATAATTAATTGTATTTTTGCATTTATTTTTGACATTTGTTTTCAAATGTAATTAAAATTCGGAGAAATGTTTTAGATTTTATTAAAAGATGACATCTTTGAGGGCATTAATAACAGAGAGAATAATAGACTGAACGCTTAGACAGAAAGAGATTATTTTGTGGCACATCTTCGCGCTGGCGATGAATAAAACCCTTTCATCCCTTTTAATTGAATTTAACGCTTAGATTATCTAAAACTCTAACCTCATTGAATCAATGAATGTATTTGGCAACACTAGGGTCTCCCTGGAGGGACAAGATATCGCTGGCGATTCTGCATTTGCAAGAGAAGGGTGTGATTCGTGTGCTTTACGACCGGTGGTGGAAAAGGCCGGGCATTACCTGCTCTCGGGATGACAAGAGCAAAGAGGGCAAAGCCAACGCTCTGGGCGTCGACAACATCGGCGGTGTGTTTGTGGTGCTGTTGGGCGGACTCGCCGTCGCTATACTCACAGCTATTATTGAGTTTTGTGTCAATTCGAAGAAAAATGCAGTTAACCAAAGGGTAAGCACTGATAGCAACAATCCATTCGCCACTGCTTTACGCTATCTATTAGTTTAATCTTATATTTAATTCAATTCATTGAGAGATATCATAAGAATCATATCGAGAGCTATTTTATCTCCTCTCTCTCTCTCTCTCTCTCTCTCTCTCTCTCTCTCTCTCTCCACTCATTCACTCGATAGCAGACATAAATGTAAGTGTGATGAGAGGGAGGGGAAGAGTCTAAAGACGAAATTGTCTGAATTGTCGCAAAGAATATTCTAAGGAAATGAATCTCAAATGTATTGATGGTCTAAAGGGAAGGCAGAAAATGCGAGAATCGGATGGTTTTTAGACAGCATTCACTAAAATGTTTATTCAGTCTTAATGTACATATTGTTAGCAATAAATGACTTGTTTTCGCTTTGATTGAGTGAATGGCAAATACAATACGATATTTAATTCATTTAATAATTATCTGTATTTATGTCTCACATAAGAGAACAGTTAGTGTGAAGAAAATAAGTAATGGTCGATATATTGGACCCAATATTTACTACAACCCATACTTCCCCAACAGATTAGTGCTGGGAATGGGTTTTACCTGAATTTTATTGGCGCTAAAAATAAAGCTAATTATTGTTTTTCAGGCCTAATGTAATCTCAAATCAGTTTATCGTTAAGTCTTAACGACTCACTCAAAACACATTTATTTAATGTATTTTCACGTTTTGAGAGAACATTATGTTTCGATAGTTTATTAAACATTAGACAAGGAATTAGTGTTTGAATCAACACTAAAAGTGGGAGAATAGTAGAGAGAGAGTCTGTCTTATAGTAAAAGTAGTGAAAGGAGTAAATGAATGGGAATTTGGAGAGAGAGAGAGAGAGAGAATCGGGGAAGCAGAACTGGCCATTTTATGAACTAATTAAAACTTTTTACTTAATAAACCAAAGTTCTAAATGTGTAATCGCTTTTGGCTGTAAATTAGTGTAAAATAGCGAGTATTTAACCATAAAATTGTTGAATCAAAACCATTGTTATTAACGAATGAATAGAATCTTATTATGTGTTCAAATCAGCAATCGTTGTGCTCAGAGATGGCCGAAGAGTTGCGATTCGCGGTCAAGTGTCGGGCGCCGAGACAGAGGCCGACCCTACGGCGGCAGTGCTCCAAATGCATGCCCGCCAACACATTCGTGCCCTCGGCTATGGAAATGTTGCCACAAGAGAACGGCATTATGCAGATGATTGAGTCCCGCAAGACGTCGTCGCCCCTCCAGTTTGACTGCGGAGAGTGTCATCACCGGCAACAACATCACCAACAGTTACAACATTCACATTACAGACATTCGCCACACTCTTAGCTCAATGAAAAACAATGACAAACACTGCAAACAATAGAGAGCTCATCATTTTTCTCACTACATCTCTAAGTCTCGCCTCTAAATACCATTTATATAAATATATTTTTGCAACGAATTGTATGTCTTCGGGAGGGAATCTCAAGCCGTGTTTTTGTCGTTGATTTGTATTTCACATCCCCTGACTGACTGACCCCTACAGCCCTTTTTCTCTCTCATTCACCATCACTTTCATCATCCCATCACTCATTACAATAACACAATGACTGCAATAACGATGAATGGGAAGCGGAAGGCATTAATGTCTTGTGAATTAGACATCATTTTTACTGAACATTATTGAGGATATGGTCTCTCATCGGGCGCTGAAACGTTAAAATCGATTCATTAACTCAACGCCTAATGAAAAATGTTATCAAAAAAGTTTTTCACTCATTATAACGGGAAATGTGTGTATGTTTTGTGTGTATATAAATCAACACAACTATAAAGTTATGAACGGAAATGGGATCGAAATCACCAGAAAACTGATTATCAATAAATTAATTGATTGCCAATTGTATTGTTAACAAAATACAAAATAATAGACTAAAACTTCTTTTTGTTTGCCCTTTGGTTATGTGTTGTCATATGTTTTTTGTGCGGAGAAATTCAACTAAAATACAGAATATTCTGTAAAACTCGTTGTGTTTGTATTGCATAAAATGCAAAATAAAATACTTTTCAATTACTCTATGAATATTTAAAGACAATAAAACAATTTCACATAAAATATAAGACAATAAGAGATAAAAATTTTAAACTAAAGTTTTTAAGTGCCATAGGATTTGTTGACACAGAAGAGTTATAGTGAGAATTTTTTGTGACAAACCCTTCAAATTATAATATAAATTAAAACACAAAAATTTTATTATAAGAAGAATACGAAGCGAAAAGTTAATAAAATCTCAATTAATTACTACTTCACGATTGAAAGCATCACTTTTTTGCAACATTGACCGACTTGTGTGACAACAAATCAATTAATAATAATTGTAAACAAAATTAAATTTTGTTATATAACTAGATATGAAACAAAGATTTATTCCGAGTGGCGGTGATATTATTATAACAATATTTGTTACATAAAAATCAAATCTATTCGTTAAGAAAATTATTATTAGAGGAAAAAAATATTAAAGAGTTTTTTGTATTAATAGTTGATTTCAAAAAACAGAGTATAAAATGTATAAAAATTATAGAAATATATTAGTTTATTGATCTATTATGTAATATAACAAATACATTATTATAATTCAGTTATAAATCCAATGCTTTTGTCAATTTTGAATCAATACTTACCGTACAAAAAGGCAATTTTGTTTTTTAATCAGAGCTGGATCAATTATTGTTATATGAATTATTCATTGTGAAGGCAATGTTGTAATTTGTATACGGATTATATCAAATGAAACAATGTAATGGTGTAATCCATAAATAAAACATACATGTATTCTTACTTTAATTTTACCAAATATTTATATACGAATTTGAATTTGCTTTTAACAACATTCATAATAAATAAAATCATATGGTATTTGATCCAGCTAATTTTTCAACACACTTCTCTCCTAGTTATAATTGTTATTTAACAATAATTATGTTAATTAG